CCCTATTATCACGGCACTACATAGGCTCGGTAGAACATTATTATTTATTCGTTTATTTAAACGAGCCGTCTTTCACATCTGCCGTGCGAATCCCAGCACTTCTTCCATTCGATTCGTTTCTGCGCATCCGTCATCCACGAAGCTATTCCAACGTTCTGTTTGTGCGTTCGGCTGATGCTTGTGGATTCCCCTCTCCTCATGAATGTCGTTGAACGCTAGTCGAGTAGACTCAATATGGAGTCCTGAGATAGTCGAGGCTGACTGGGCGCTTCCCACTTGGATTCCACAGAGTGAGCCTTTCGTTGACAAGTTTCGTAGCAATTTCGCGACCCGAGAGGAATGAGGAGGCGCCGGGTCGAACCATAACCGTGCTCGTGGTGATCAGAATCACAACCACTGTACTACTTACCCCTGCGGTAAACCATTGGGACATAAAATAAAGTGCTGGGAGCACTAGCAACCTATCTTTACTAATAACGCTTCTTTGATAGAAAACTGGCTCACACTGTTGTAGTATATTGCTTAACTATCAGCCCAGTAGCAGTATTCTTTGAATACATTATGAAACGAACTGAAACTATGGGTTTATATGGTAGTACGACCACGACGTAAAAGTAATGAAGAGGCACTATTACAACATAAAACCTGACCATTTGATATTTAGGTGATGGTAGACGATGTCACGATGTCAAAACGGACAGTGTTAAGGGCCACAGAAATAGCTTTCGATGGAGAAAAGTAAGATTCGTTTAATATCGCAATAAAAAGTGTGACTTCTAGACAGGCAACGCCATTACCAATATATTGGATAAGAAGAACAATAGGAGGCAATGGTGTATAAATTACTTGTTTCACTTCGTCAGGTATTGAAATGGGACACCAAGATACATCCAGATAGTGAGTGCTAAATATATACCTCAAGAGCACGGTGTGAGCGGCAAAGTCAAAAGTTCTCGTGTTCTACAATCAGTCTCAGCAAAAACAAATCCATTTTTGGATCGTGAATTTCAACTAATTAAACTTGATATATCTCCCTAATATACAAGTACTTTCCAACGCTATCGCCTCATCGCAGCTGGGAAGTGTTCCTGGGTGTCTGATTGCAATGTACAACGCGGATTCATCCTCTAGCAGGGTCTTCCGAGCTGAGAAGAAGTCCAGCGTTTCCATCAGGAAGCGTAGCTAAGAGTAAACCAATACCAGGTTCCACCACCGTCCTGGTATCAACGTCGCATGGTGGCAAATCTCCTCCTAATCCACAAGGGCTGCAACTGTCTGTGGTGTCGAAGACCTGGGGCAGACTTTGGCAAGGCTGACCTCGAGATTCCACAGAACTACAATGGCTTAGCCAGCAAATCTCCGAAAAATGGAGATTATGCCGGGGCCCACACAACCAGTGAGGACGGGCCATTCAAGTATCAAGTATCAAGTAAGAATTTCAAGTAACTGAAAGTAGGCTTGAACACGAACTTTTCTAGTCAAAATAAGAACCATTAGGATCTAAACGTTCTATCCCACAAAACAGAAATTTAATGTTTTGATATAAAATGATTCTCGCCTACTTGAAGAGACAAGTTCTCCGAAGCCACCTAGAGCTCACCATTATGAAACCTGTGTAAAAAATCGGGTAATTATCGGGTACTAAAAAAACGATTTCTCAACCCCAATGCCACATTTGGGGAGAGGTGTATCTTGTACGGCAACTAACGGCGTTCAGAGTTAGACCGAGGTGAACCTCCTGAACATCAATCGAGGCCGATTTTACACTGAAAGGTTGTGGTGATTTTTGGTGGTCTACAGATGCAATCGTCCTCTATAAGTCTAAATCCTGACCGAACCATCAAAGAAAATTCGTATTATCAGGAAATAGACAAGAAGCACTAATTACTGCAACATCTGCGACAAGAACGTACTAACAAATTCTGGTGCGCGACAACCTCCAACCACATGTTGCATAACGTTGAGAAAAGTTTGAGTTTAGTTACGAATCCTCACTAACCTACAATCAGTTTTTCAAACATCTTAACAACTACTACCTGAAGAAGTCTGCAACCATCAAGAGGCAGCTAAAAATACCTTCGAAGAAAATGTCTTCCAGAGCATATCAGAATTCTGTTCTGCCACGATGCTTAAACTTGAATTCTGTTGAAAAAACGGTTCACATTCTAATGGCTCTTATTTTGAATGGTAAAGCTACTTTAGAACCCCGCTATAAAACGTAAAAAGCGTTGATCAATCCCTGACGGATGCGCCATGTATTCGACCTCATCAAACATCTTTAGAGGTGATTGAGTGCATATCTGGCCTACAAAGTGACTTACGGTGGCCTACGGATGTATGAAGCCAGTGTTGTCAGTGTTCCTATTCTCCCAGACGTCTTGTAGCAATTTGTCGACCATAGAAGGATGGAGGGCTTGGTGAGCCTAGCGCAGAATCGTATCATCGCGACCCAACCAGTGCGTATTGCAAGGCACCTCTAGCAAACTGCGCTACACCCGCACTTTGGAGCTCGTTATACTGACTTAAATTCGTAGTCCGAAATCACAATTATTCTTGTGTCAAACACAGCACGTAACTGTCAGACCCTAGATGTGATCTCTGACGTTGGTTAAAAGTTGGAATGTTATTAAGCCATAATACTACACCACCCAGGCCTCCTTTGACTTACATGTAACGTTCTTGTCTACCTGATTATACAGCAATTCTCTTCAGATTTGATGTGTTTTGTGCGAATGGCGAGTTCAGCTACAGTATCCACTCACGGAAGTATTGTGAAGTGACAAAAAACGAGACCACATGCTTTGCCTTCCGATGATGGTCTTTGCTGTCATCCTAACCCCTCCAGCTGTGATGCGGATGTCCTGCTCCAGTACACTCCTGCTACTACAATACACCTGTTATGCAGTAAGAGGCATCAGACCACAAGGTTGTTCACCCATATCTTCGCTTAGCCATGCTGTCGTATGAATTGTATTTTAACTTACGATCAAAGTGATAAACATTCCTTCCAAATGATATTCGGTGTCAGCTGTCAGGTAACAATAAAACGAAGGCAAGAACTAAGTAACTCAGTAGTATTAACACTTTCTCCACGACTTCAGTCATATCTGATAAAAGGACAAAGAACAGAGTCCTTAGCAATGACCAACTCGCCATGCATTCGACTTCATAAGTATCGTTAGATGTGACCGAATGCATACTGGGCCTACAGAGTGACTTGCAGTGGCTTAGCTATCTATCAAGTGTTTTATCTCTCAGGCACCAATTTGCCTACCCCGAAGGAAATGTAGGCTTCATGAGCTAAGGAGCGGATTAGTACTAACGACCACTTGTGTATTACAGAACGCCTCCAAATGCATGCAGAATGCCTTCCAACTCTGGAGTGGTATGTCTCATCTTATAGTGAGTGACCTTTGTAGGTTAAGATACCACTAAGCTTTATGTATCACTACCAATGAGGCACCAGTTCAGTTATCCCGTAACGATGAAACGTCAGGTTTTGAGAGGTTAAGAATAGTTTTTTTTCGCCCTTTTTCAAAGAGGTTCATGTCCTATATCAAATAATGAAGCGACTGAACGTCTCATTGGGCAGAACAAGACGCTCTCCTGGATTCACCATTAGTATTGGTGACCGATGCGCAGCGTTAAAAACGTCACATTTCCTGATTTTAAGTGAAATTTGTTTCATTACGGCAATCGGAACGCGTGACGCAGTGGTCGAAGGCGCACTGCAGTACACACGGGATCGACCCCGCGTCCGAGGCGCACTAAACCTTGCATCCCTCCGGGGTTGGAAAATTGGTACCAGACTTGTCTAGGAGGATAGCAGCACTGGCTCGATACATCGGTAGGCCACTCCGCGTCATTGTTAACGCCAGATGTGCATTCAATCACCTTCAGCGATGTTTAATGAAGTCGAATACATGGTGTGGCGCATACCTCAGGGATTGATCAACGCCGAGAGTTTTACCTTTTTTTTACGGCAACCGGACAAAGCCTCCTCAACAAGTACATCAAGTCGTCAATTCCTTGAGTACAACGGTTCGCAAAAGACAATTACAAAGAAACGGATACTGCTGCAAATGTGCTAGGATTCATATCCCAGGAAATAATACATTGTACCGAGATGTCAGGCGAGAAATCAAGCCAAAGTGGTCTAGAACGGATAGAAAGCGTTTCGAAAGAAGAACCAAACGAAAATAAGATACAACGAAGTGGAAATGTGAGAAAACAAGAGAGAACAGACCACGCACTGCTATACTTTGTTCCTCCAAATTTATCAGGCCATACTCTGCTCCTTAAAAGTTCTCCATTCCTCAAAAAAAAAATGCCACATGGTACTTTGCTGAGATATGCTGACTTACTGCGAACTAAGAATTAGTAGTTGAATTAAGCTAGTGGGAAGGCTTAAGAACAAAATTAATCTGGCACGAACCGATCCTATCGTGACCGATTCGGAGATGTAGGTAAAAGGTAACGGGACGTACCACCACTATAGGACGTACTACTATTGTAGGACAACTTGATGATCCGGCTGTAGAACATAGTTTGAATACCCTATCGCTCTGGCACAAAATCCAGGGAATTTCTGGCTCCGAACATTCAACTTAGGAGTTCCATAATGTGCGATTGCGGTCAGTACGCGCAGACAGGCGTCATCTCTCAGGTCATCCTTGGTAGGATGGCAGATTTGCTCCGATAAGCTGGTGGTTTTTCTGGCGTTTTTCTTCTACTTCGCCTTCTCTGTCTTCTAGATTCGGTAGAGTCAGTCTTAAGGATTGACCATAGTCTTTCTAATTGGGCTTGACTGTGAAGATTAAGCGATTGCGAAATCCTATGGCTGATTTTTTTAAAGATTATTACCTAGTAGGATCTAATTTCTATTATACTCCCCCACCATCTCGTTATCAATCGGTTCTAAACGAAGTTTAGAACCGAATTGCTCGTCGTAACCCTGCTCTTTCCTTGATATCTTCTCAATCTTTGTAAGCCATCCTTAGATGTCGGCTATGGGTGATGAACGAAGCGATAAACGGATGGAGTTGGAACGTAAGAAGCAAAAATTGGCTGAAATGAGGGAGGCGAGGAGAAGAGCTGATGAGGAGAAGAAACGAAAGCTACTTGCCTCTGTACCTGTTGAAAACGGTAATGACAGTTCTTAACTTTGTGAAGCGTCTTCAGTTATCAGAGTTATGTAGGCGCGTCTTAGGTTTAAATTGCTCCACAGGGTTCTGTTTAGGTAATCAGAGACAAACTCTTACTTCAACGGAAGTGCAGGAACTACTCGCTGAAGTAGGAATCCCAACTGAACCGAGATTAGAAAGGTCATCGGAAGGAATCAATGGATTGAGTGATAGCGTAGGTTTCACCATCCTCTCTCTAAAACTGAAGGGAGATTCCACTCACCTGCACACCGTCGCTGGTTAAATAACTCTTTTGAACCAACTATAGCTCTACCTCTTTTCAATTTTTGAGTTGTTTTTTTCCGACAGTTTCCGAGAGAGCGCAAGGTAAGACGATATGCGTAATGTATGGCACGTCGATACTCGGCGTTAATGCAATTTACAATTGTAACACAAATGCATTCTTTCTTGATAAGCTTGCACGAGGTTGATAAATATATTTACTTTCGGCTAACGTTTCGACGTCTTCGTCTTCCTCAGAGCCGATGATCCGAGTCGATGGTCCATGATTGTTCTTCGTCTCGACGTGGCAGCTTCGCCTTCGTGTCGAGTCAGGTCTTCTTCAGTGAGCCATCTTCTCGAATGAGGATGGCTCATTCGAGAGGATGGATCACTGAGGAAGACCTGGCTCGATACGAAGGCGAAGCTGCAACGTCGAGACGAAGAACAATCATGGACCATCGACTCGGATCATCGGCTCTGAGGAAGACGAAGACGTCGAAACGTTAGCCGAAAGTAAATATATTTATCAACCTCGTGCAAGCTTATCAAGAAAGAATGCATATTGATTAGTCACACCGAGGTTCAGGGAAAGTCGGTTTCGAAATGTAACACAAATGTTGTAGTGCAATTCAACGGTATTGGGTAATGTAGCGAGCCATCACCTGTATCACCTGTAGTCCAATTGATCGTCGAGTGACTCGAACTGGCACCAGTAAATCTTCCATTTATCCCTGTCGCGTGCAGGAGTAGCCCACTGGGTTCTACTCTCTTTTCATGAAGAACTCTGATCATCGGGTCAGCATTCTTCACGAAAGCAAGCTATATTCTTCACGGAAGCAGCAAGCTATACACTCAACCTATGCGATTGTAAAATACTTATTCCAACAAATGTTCTTTGAAAACAGGATTATCACCTCTCCCCAATGGCCTCTCAAATCATGTCGAGCTCTCGAAGCTTACAACTTGACTTCTCCAACGTTCTCACTATGGCTGTACCGACAAAAGACGCTGTAAGTTTCACATTCAAAAGATGTTCATTTTTAATCGATTGTGTGACTTGCCATCTAGTGCAATTTTCAAGTTCTGCACATGCTCTATGTTTCGTCATACTTTTTCCTTATGTGAAGTGTTCTAGTTTCTATCTATTCGTAGCTAAAAAATTTCTAGGCACAATACTCAAAAACGACTCAAACAGACGACGACCGCGTATCGATGGGAGAATTCAGCACAGGTAGTCAGGAGTTCGATTACGATGATGATATGCTTCCTCTGGATGGAGGTGGATTCCGAGGCGAGTTTGCAACTCACGAATTTACCTTTGTGAAGTGTAATATTATCCCACAGAGGTGGTAGCGCACAGTGGTTAGTGATTCAGTCCATCAAGAAATAAGGCACTGGTTCAACCCTTTCGCAAACGCTCTCCTCCATTCCACGTGGCAACGCCTCAATCTAGCTATCTCCAAGACTACAAGGATAATCTGCTCAACTACCATTCAATGTCATTCATAACGAAGACGAAATCCTCAAGCAGCAGCCGAAGCAACACAGTTGAATTTTTTGTAGAACGTTCTGAACCTCGAATGTGAGGAAAAACGAATCGGATGCAAAAAGTGCTGTGGTCCACTGAGTAGATGTGATGACGGGTTATATAAAAAAATAAAAGTATTTTCAACCGCAATAATGCTTAGACATTTGCAGAACTCCAGACGGCTGGTGTCTGCTGTGGGAAACGAACGCGCTTTTACTCTATCCAGGGGCTAAAGCGTTCACCATCACACCATGCGCTTTCTTCGTTTTGCCTTTCTCTCAACTAGTTTTTCCGCATTATTTTGGGAGTATTTAGGTCGTATTCACTCGCATGATGTTGATTCACCTATAACTGACGACTTAGCTGGAATATTGCCAAATATTCCCGGATTCAATTTCACGAAACATAAGGAGGAGGTCCCTTAGCTATTTACGTTTTTCCCAACTATGATTTAAAGTTTTTTGAATCTTTAAAAGTGTAGGGATAACATAAAAATTTTCAAATCATCTCGTTGTCGTATGTTTAAGGTGAGCTTAAGAAGCAGTTTTTTCTTTTTACTACTTTAGGATATTCTAACCATTACAGCAACTTTATGCTTTCTAATATTTAATAATAATTCAATAAATTTACGAGCAAATACTCCCTCAGTTCGGCGCATAGCACATTTCAGCCAGAAACAGTGAAAGAAGAGCCAGCGCCTACCCGTCTACCTGATCTCAGTGAAGAAGAGAAAGTTCAAATCATCTCAAGTCAGCGATTTCAGGTGATCTTTCCCTATCACCCTGTCAATTTTTTTTCAAATTTCTACTAAATACAACTATCATCATTTATTTCTCACCGTAAGCGAGAGAAAATCTGTGGACTTCAAAAGCTTTGCTTGGTTTACAGTCATTGTTCAGACTTTTTTCAACTATTCCGCCAAAGTTATTGAACGAGCTCTTGCTGAGGCTGAAAATGTAAGCTTATTGTTTCCTTTCTGTTTTTTTTTAAAGTATGAGATCTATAGTTCGCAGGAATTTTACAGGTGGATATTTTCATCGACTATGCACGTGATGGTCATGGTGAAACCGTTGCATCAAGCGACCGAATGGTATTGTCCAGGATATTTTCTGATGCAAAGTGGTCTCAGAACAGGTTGCCTTCCTACTTTTTCTTTTACCTCCACTCATTTGTGACTATCTAGTTTATCTTGTTTCAAACTCTGTAAATAATACCGTTGGACCACCCGTGTATTGTTCACGAGGGATAAGTTCCACTGAGGAAGATCCGAGTGGATAGGAAAACGAAGATGCCAAATCGAAAAGACGAACAACTGTGGGCCATCGACTCGGATCAGCGGCTCTGATATAGACGAAGACGTCGAAACTTTAGCCAAATGGAAGTCATATAACAAAGAAAAAACTGCATCGGCTCTGATGAAGACGAGTGTTCTTATTCCTCGTGAACAACACGCGGGTCTGGAACATCGGCAAGGCTCTGAGGAAGGCGAAGTCGCCAAAACGTCAATCGTTTTTGAACAAAAACAGCAACAGCAATCAGAACATATATACCAACCTCACGTCGGGTGAAAAGGGGAGTTCGTAAGAAAGTATATACAGATGTGTAAATCATAGTTTTAAGGTCTGTTACTGGAATCGCATTTTCGGAACAAAATCCAGAATTAGTGGCTGTATCCTACGACTCTGTAAGGATTTCCTTACGTCTTTCATTGGTTCCAAAGCGTATCTTTTCTTGTGAATAAACTATGGAGGTGTTCTGAAAACATGGAAACTGTTAGAGAATTGTTTTATACTTTACGGTAGCGAAAACTATATTTCTTCTAGAACAAAGATATCCCTTCGGAGCCGCCAGGTGTAGTACTTATATGGAACACAAAATTCAAAAGGAACTCTCCGGAGTAAGATCATCTTGATTTTCCACATTTATCTGCTTTTAACATTTCCAAAGTTGTAGTTACTCCATTACGAAATTTTAAATCATCCGTGAAGGTACGTGTTCCATTGCCAATCACGACTCGCTTCTGTTGCTCTAGCACGTTTTCATTCACATCTCATAATGGCTGGATGTTATTCTGGACAAATTTGTATGTGGGACAATCGAGTTGCCAATAAAAAGACTCCTATCCATAAGGTTTGCATGAAATTCTTTCACTTGAACCCTTCTTTTCATGTTCATCTTCATCATCTTTGCAGAGTCCTCTTTCCACCTCAGCACATACACATCCTGTGTACGCGTTAGAGGTCATAGGCAGCCATAATGCGCACAATTTGGTATTTCTCCTCTTTTAGACGTATAGCGAACTTTCTTCTTTGTTCTATGTTATTTTGTTTTACCAGGTGTCAATAAGCACTGACGGGAAGATGTGCAGCTGGAACGTTGATAACCTAACTCAGCCGGTTGATGGCAAGGAATTGTTGTCACGGCAGGGAAAGCAGGTTGGTGGTTTTATACAAGAGGAGTAGTTCTGGATCTGTTATGAGTTTCCCTTGTTGAAGAATGTTTTTTGCGACAGAACAGTAATATGCTAGCAGTTCTCCTCTTCGTCATTTTTGTGGTGTTTCGTTTTTATAGCGTCATTCTTATTTCTATTAAATGAATCATAATCATCATCAGTAGTTTTTGCTTTGATGATGAGGGTTTCAGATCCCATGCCTATGTATGTCCTTCCCAGTGGCGGATATGAATAATTTCGTGGTTGGCAGCGAGGATGGTCATGCATATGCACTCAGCCGTCACGGGACAGGACAGCCAAATGCACAGGAGCATACTATCTTCGATGGTGGGAAAAGATAAAAACATTGGGACTTAATTTGTGCTTATTTGTCAGATTTTTCCATATTCTGTTAATGTGTTCGTCATTTCGAATCATCGTCTTACTTAGGTCATAGTGCGCCAGTGTGTGGTATTGCCTTTCACCGCGCTACTGGTCCCGTGGACCTTTCTCATCTTTTTTTGACTTCAAGCTCTGATTGGACTGTAAAACTATGGAGTACAAAGGTGAGAAAAACTTAACTGCAATGTGGTTGTTACAATTCACCATCGCTTACTACCAATTTTTACACAATTTTTCACCCATGTCTACTTCTTTCAAAGGATCCAAAGTTACGATTCTCTTTCGAGTCGCACAATGACTGTGTTTTCGACGTGGCGTGGTCGCCAGTGCACCCTGCTGTGTTCACTTCAATAGATGCGGAAGGAAATGTGCGGTTATCATCAAATTATCCTCCGTTTTCCCATCTTTTCTTGCTGCCACATCCTAACGATTCTTTTTTTTTTGCAGTTATTCCTTTGGAACTTGAATGAAGATATAGAAGGTCCTGTGGCGCGCATGAACATTGCTCAAGAAGGATTTCTTCGGAAGATAGCATGGGCTGAAAATGGTTCGTTCCTTGTTTGTTTGTCTTGTTGACATACCGTAATTCATAACAGGACAGCATTTGTGTGTTGGAGACGATCAAGGTAACCTGCAATTGTTCGACATACATGAAAGTATGTACGTATTAAGGAGTGAAGAATGGACAAGATTTGCACGGTTTGTATAGTTTTGATCCTTCTGTTTATCCGCTTCTGATATATGCAACATTTTTTTTTAGTACTAACGGTTCACCGCCCCATCGTGACTGGGGGTGTTCTTGGGTGTCGGGACTGTGATGTACATCAAGGGATTCATTTCCCTGGCATGGTCTCCCAAACTGAGAACGAGTCCGGCGTTTCCATTAGGAAACCCAGCTAAGAGTAAACGAATACCACGATCCGTCACCGTTCTAGTAGCAAACTAGTCGCGCGGTAGCAAATCTCCCTGATCCATAAGGAGGGGACTGCCTATGGTGGTGACGACCTGGGACAAACTTTTGCCTGGCTAACCCCAGTACTTCAGGGAACCACAAGGGTAAACCAGCTGGACTTCAAGAGGTGGAGATCGTGCTGGGTAGGTCTGCACATCCACTGAGGACGGCCCATCGAACTGTTCAAGTGCTTTTTTTCGAGAATTATGTTCTATTTAGGTGGATGTTTCACTTTTAATTGATCATTTTCGATAGTAGCGCTTTTCAGAGTTTTGGCCGACATGAAACAAGCAAATGAAGAAGCGGATGAAATGTCCGAGGTGATGTCACGCCTATCGGATGGCCTAGGAGGATTAAGTGGTGGGAGTACAGTGGCTAGTTTAGCCGGAGTCAATATTTCACCGCGACAGAATTGGTAATCAGGTAGTTTCTCCTCGTTTATCACATAATTTTGTAGTATTGCTTCAAATTCTGACTTATTTAATACGATTTTATTTGGTTGAAATGCACCAAAACCCCTATCTGAGTGTTGTACTACTTGTTTCAGGTCTAAATACTCTGGCACATCTCAACCTTTTGGAAATTCTTTGCAAAACACTTTCACCTTATCTTGATCGTCAGTCGCCATATTGTACCCGTTCGCTGTCCTTTTGCTTGTCCTAGCACATTTTTTCGTATTTAGCGCTTCATCCATACGTGTTTTATAGACTCCCGCTAACTGAAATAGGTAACTTGGTAACAGGTATGATAAATATTGGTGGAGTTCGATGGTTTTGTCGATTGTATAGTACCATCCTTCCGTCAGTTCACTTTACTCCTTCTCTAATCTTTACCTTTCCACATAAGTACATATTAAAGATGAATGTTGTGAACTAAATTTGTTCACCCAAAGTGTGATACCTTTGAAATTGTCCGAGCTGTTCCTTTTCCATCGCATCTTTTCGATAGGGCTCATCACTATACAACGGTTTCTGAGTTTTTTTTCCGAAGTGGAAAAAGGAAATGGCCGCGCGTGTAAGGTATGTTCTATTTACGAGCCTAGTAGTTTTTGCGAGGCAAGCTCTTTCGATAAACCTCTTTCTAAGCCAGCTACTATTGTTGATCCGTGTGTTTCATGAGCCTTAGCTTCCGTGTTGGTCATAAGGCAGATTAAGTTTTGACGTGCAATCCTGTCACTCTCGGCGACGAATGCTGTAACTTGTACGTTTAATTATAATTAATAAGACATTGTAGTTTTTCTTGCAATTTCTTGCTATATAAATGTATTTATTCATTAGGAAGGTATAAATTATGTTAGGTTCAAAGTTTTGATGGTCTCAATCAAGGTTACAATGATGGAGAGTGTGATTAGGATCAGAAAAATGTATTCCCTCTAATTGTGGTGTCGAGCGTTGGTTCCCTGTGTTTAGGACATAAAATTGCCTACTTACTCGGATATATAGATGGCCCGTCCTCTGTGGTTGTATGAACTCCAGCATAATCTCCATTTCTTTGGGAGTTTAGCTGGTTTACCCATTGCGGTTCCCTGGAGTCCCGAGGTCAGCCAGGCTAAAGTCTGGTCCTGGTCGTCACCACCACAGGCAGTCGCTCCCTTGTGGATCAGAGGGAGATTTGCCACATTGCGACTTTGATACCAGGACGGTGGTGGATACTGGTAATGGTTTACTCTTAGCTGGGGTTCCTGATGGGAACGCTGGACTCCTCACCTTGGAAGACCCCACTGGGGAGAATCTCTCCGCTGTATATTGCAGCCCCACACCTAGGAACGCTTCCCAGCCACGATGTGGCGGTAAACCGTTAGGAGAGTTAGGACATGTAGTTCATCAAATTAATACCGCACTGAATGTTCAACACTTTCGTGGCAAAGCTAGTTTTTATGCGATGTATGACTCTATCATTAACACAAAAGTCCACATGTGTCGAAATGGTTACGTACCTGTTCAATGGTTCACAGACGTTATCAGACAATTCGTATTCCATCAGTACCTTGTCCAAAATGGATGTTACGTCGGACGTGCGTCTTGAAAACCTGTTCTTTACACTTATTAATTTGGAAGAGATCTGTTTTGAGTCAGTTAATTTTGAGTGCGACAAGACCCTAACGCTGTTGAGGAGAGTATGTAGCGTGGAAAGAAAGGCCAGTGAGGAAGGTCAGAAGTGTTTCCGCTTGAATACTGGAGTTTGACACTTAAGGCCAGCTTTTCGCTCTACTAAGATGGCAAGTCACTGAAGGAGCTGTCTTCAGGGTGGCTGCACATTCACAGAGCATGATCTCGTCACAAGAGAGTCCGCCCTCTAGAAACAGTCATCAAGTCTTATCACGTTTTTACTCTGTATTTATATTTCGTCAGTCTTTTTCTGTTTCTCCTACAGCTGCCATAAATATGGATCTCACTCCTCAATGAGCCCTCAGCCCAAAGGAAACTCGCACTCACAACTACTATGCAGGATAGAGTGGCATCATGCAACTCACCTTAAAATGGCGCGAGGGATCTGCAGTTCCTGTTAATACGCGCGATTAATGGCCCAGCCTTGTACAACGTGTCCTATCTGTCACAAACTGCGTTGTTGGCAAAGTAGGTCATTACCAACAGATGTTCATATCATCCCCCTCATAGCATGGGCTCCAGGACGATGGCATGCCAAAGAAGGATTCGCTTTGAAATAATCCCTCAGATTTGGTAGCCTAACAAAGCGTACCTTAAATAGAATAGACTGATGATGAATCTTCTTATCTTATCAACACTTGTCGCTTTCCAACACATCCTTCTATACAACAAATCTGTTCTTATCGTTTACAACCAGCTCCCAAACACCGCCTTTGAAAAGCTCATAAAATCCTCTCGGTTCTCTGCATCAACCTACTAACTGTCCACCAATATTAGTCTTGTTATCATCGAAGCGAAAGAGATTTTGAGCCGTTACATCACTTGACCATTCACCACTTACATTATCAACACATTCACTTTCTTTCTTTCTTTGATTCGCTAACTTTAGTCAATTCAATAGAAAGTATAGGAGGTTATACAATACCCTCCTCACCTCCAGCTTCTTCAGCGTCTCAATGAGAAATCGACTGAGGTCGAAATTGAAGTCGTCGTTGGCTGACATAAAGACAGAAGTGGTTGATAAAGAATGTGAAGAAAGAAGAAAGAGCAATGAAAGAAGTATTGAAGATCGATAACCTTATAAGAAAGCGAGCGACTATACGCTCTAGGCAGGTGTTCTACAGTTTTCGCCAACAGGCATAGAACAGTGACTACAGTGTCGACGCGGAAAACAACTAAATCTCTCCCACTTATTGAAGTGGCCAATTTTTGCACCTGTGGATCGATCGTTGCTACTAATTTGCAGGAAACAGCGATGCCTTTCAACAAACACTTCTTAGCTCAGTGAAGCTGAGATATTTGCAGAACTCCAGAATGCAGGAGTCTGCGGTGGGGATCGTACACGGTATTACCTCTTCGAGGGGCTAACGCTTTGTGCTCCCCTGATCGATCGCGTTGACGGGTGATTACTGATGACGCCAATAGATAGAAAACTAGCTCAGAGGAAGTGAAACGAAGGATCCATATGGTGTGGTGGTGAACGCGTTAGTCCCCGTAAAGGTTAATAGTGTGTTCGATCCCACCGCGGAGATCTGCATTCCGGAATTTTACAAATATCCCAGCTTCAGGAGTTATTAGAAGGCAGCCATTGTGCCGCCATTAGTTCAATATGAAGTTAAATTTTCGAATAATTTTTCATTTTCGAGTGTGACGATTGGTCCTGGCTATCGTACAAAGGATAAAGCTCTCGGCGTTGATCAACTCCTGATGTATGCGCCATGCATTCGGCTTCATTAAGTATCGTTGGTGGTGATTGAATGCATATCTAGCCTTTACAGTGACTAGCGGTGGCTTAACGATGTATCGAGCCAGTACTGCTATCCTCTCAGACAAGTCTGGTACCAATATGCCGACGCTGGAGGGATGGAAGGCTCGGGGGGTAATGGGCGCGGAGATCGAGTCCACGTGTGTGTCGCAGTGGCGCCCTTCATCGTATTGTGGTTGTCGTATAGGATGGGCAAGTATAGGAAATCGAATACCACAATCCACTCAACATGAATAGCAAAAGTGTTCCAAATTCTGACTGCAATGTATCGCAAGCAGAGAGTAAAAATATTGTACGTCTAGCAAACCATCCTCTCTAATTTCACGATGTTCCGAGCACTACAAGTTCTATAGCTACTGAGAATCTACGGTTTGTAAAACAAAAATAAACATGTAAAACAAGTATTGTCGTGTCTCACCTCGGATCCACCGTTTTTCCAGACTCGAAATCAACGGTGGTATCACATGCACTAAGTAGCCTTTTGTGTTTTCCTGAACGATCAGTATAGGATTGACAGATATTCTATAACTTGTATTTGCTCACTACTTTTCAATTAATTCACTTGCTACTTCACTGATTTTTAATCCTCAAGTTCAAACTTACTCGGGGAATAGGTGGTTACAGCGTTCGACGTCGGTTAATCACTAAGAGGTGTGATTCCACTCACGTTGCAATTAGTTCTATGCTTGCACGCTACAATGATACACGAGGAATTACCCAAGTGCCAATCCAATGTTCTTGTCTTCCGAGGCATGTCTGGTTCCAAATTACTGACTCTGAAGAGATGGTTGGATTCATGAGGTCTGGGCTCGGGAATGAAGAAGCGACCCGGAAAAAACAAGTTGTTATCATCGGACAGTCACTACTATCGCCAACTGATGTCCTGTATAAAACAGTGCCGTCGGGTAAGAATTCCTCATTCGACAGATGCTTCACTGACTGCTTCATCCGACTTCAAACAGCTAGCATCAACCTCATGTATGCTTATCAATGAAAAGATGTATTCTTTCTTTGATGAGCTTACACGAGGTTGATAATGATGTTCGGTTAACGTTTCAACGTCTTCGACTTCCTCAGAGCTGATGATCCGAGTCGATGGTCCTTGCTTGTTATTCGTCTCGACGTGGCAGCTTCGCCTTCGTGTTGAGTCAGGTCTTCTTCAGTGAGCCATCTTTCATCATCGTGTATAAAATGGCATCACTGAGTAAGGATGCCTAATTCGAAAAGATGGCTCACTGAAGAAGAACTGACTCGACACGAAGGCGAAGCTGCCACGTCGAGACGAATAACAAGCGAGGACCATCGACTCGGATCATCGGCTCTGAGGAAGACGAAGACGTTGAAACGTTAACCGAAAATAAACATCATTATCAACCTCGTGTAAGCTCATCAAAGAAAGAATACATATTGATTAGTGACACCGAGGTTCAAGGAAAGTTGGTTTCGAAAAGATGTATAATTTGAATGTGTAGTAATATTTCGAAACCGACTTTCCTTGAACCTCGGTATCACTAATCAATATGTATTCTTTCTTTGATGAGCTTAC